ATCCATCCATCCATCCATCCATCCATCCATCCATCCATCCATCCATCCATGTTTTTCAAACTTGGCTGCTTTAAGATGGGTGGACTTCAGTTTCCAGAATCCTCCAGCCAGCATGGCTGGCTGGGAAACTCTGGGAGTTGAAGTCCACCCAACTTAAAGTGGCCAAGTTTGAAAAACCCTGGTTTATATCAAGGTGAGAAGTATTCGTTGATTGAGGTGTGGGGTTGTATGGATGGAAGGGAAGGGAAGGACTGAAGCAGATGCACTGTGGATACAAAATGTGTGTCCGAGAGCACACTTTCCCCGTTTCTTAGAGGAAAAAAGGGGGGGTTAAAGAGAAGCTAGTAAATCTGTTCTAGGTATGACCCTGTTTTAATATGCATCTTCAGTTTTCCAGGGAATGGTGCCATGAGCATTGCAGCGCCATCGTTTGAACTGGCTTAGAGAAAGAACCGGGTGGCCACACAGCTCAGCCTCAACTAGAAACCTCCTCTCAGCTTTAACTGGAGGCGGAAAACGACCTCTAGGAAAGAGCGATTCAGCTGTTCTTCTTTATGCAAGGGGAAAAACTGAGCAAGACTTTCTGGAGTCAGGAAAATGCACCTCTTCCTTAATCATTTTATTATGCAGATACGTAGCTTGCATAATTCAGTGGCTAGAATCATGCGTTTTTATTTATCTAGTTATGTATTTATTTAGTTATGTATTTATGTATTTATGCAAGTTCTACAGCCGCCCGTCTCAATCCAGGTGACTCTGGGCAGCGAACAATTTCAGTCATTAAAGCCATGAAAGCCATTACAAATTATGCATACAGGCAGCCGAGAGTTATCATAAAAATTGCACAAAAATCAACAGTGCAGCAGCTTGAATTGCACCCAGAAGGACACCAGTAACCAGTGCGGCTCCTGTAGTAGCGGTGTTCCATGTGCCACATTTGCGGCACCGTTTGCTACCCGCGCAGCTGCATTTTGCACTAGTTGAAGCTTCCGAACGCTCTTCAAGGGCAGCCCCAGGGAGAGCCCATTGCGATAATCCAAACGGGAGGCAATGAGGGCATGAGTGACTGTGAGGAGAGCCTCCTGGTCCAGGAATGGGCGCAACTGGTGCACAACCCGGAAATGTGCAAAGGCCCTCTTAGCCACAACTGCCACCTGCTCTTTGAGCAGGAGCCACGCGTCCAAGAGGACCCCAGACTGTGCACCGGGTCTGTCTGGGGCAGTGCTACCCCATCCACCGCCAGAGATGGAAAAACCGTGCCCCCAGGAGGGCCAATTACACAAAGCCACTCCATCTTGCTTGGATTGAGTTGGAGCCCATTGCGCCCCATCCAGGCCTCCAGGCACCGGGATAGGACGTTCATGGCATCACTCAACAGGCCTGGGGGGGAGATAGATATCTGGGTATCATCTGCATATTGATGGTACCTCACCCCAAGCCATTGGATCACCTCACCCAGTGGCTTCATGCAGATGTTAAATAGGAGAGGAGAGAGGACAGAACTTAGAGCCCCCCACATAATAGGGGCCATGGGCTGGATCTCTCCCCCCATCAACACCGACCAAAATTGACCCCAGAGGAAAGAGGAAAACCAGGCCAGCCCAGTGCCACCTACCCCCAACTCCCGAAGCCGATTCAGAAGGGTACCACGATCAATGGTATTGAATGCCGCTGAGAGGTCAAGAAGACCAAGGACGGACGCACTAACCCCCATCCCGCTCCCACCAGAGGTCATACAAGAGTACGATCAATGCTGTTTCAGTTCCAAACCCCGGTCTGAACCCTGACTGCAAGGGGTCCAGATCATCCGCTTCATCCAGAGTCCTCTGCAACTGCCACAGAGGTTGGTAACTAGACGGAAGTTGTCCAGATCAGTTGGTCGAGCAAAGGCCCCTTAAGGAAGGGGTGCACCACTGCTTTCTTAAGAGCTGGTGGAACCACTCCCTCCTTTCATGATGCATTGACCACTGCCATACCCAGCCACGCATCCCCTCCCATGCAGTTTTAACAAGCCAGAAGGGGCACGGATCTAACATACAAGTGGCCGAGGGAGCAGCTGCGAGGGCCCACTTTCTCAGGCTCAATGGGCTCAAACCCCCCCCCCCAATTACTGAGCCAGACGAAGCCCCATAACCTCCACGAGATCTGCCCCAAGGTTGGGTTCCAACATAGAGCGAATGCTATCTGCCAATGTCCGGCATATTCTTTACAGCAACCCCGTAGGTGAACTTCAGTATTGCTCCCTCCTAGGAGGGACTGAATCACCCAGAATAGGGTTGCTGGATGATTGTCTGCAGATGCAATAAGGACAGAGAAATAATTATGTTTCACCACCCTTACTGCTATGAGGTAGGTCCTCATAGTCCCCCTTCCCCATACACACAGTCCAGCCGCCACCCAACCAGGGGTCTGTAATATCAGAGGCACTTCTGCCTAGCATCCAGCCCCTCTGAACAGTTAAGAATCCACTTTACTCAACACCACTCTTGCAATACCTCCAGCTGGTCTCCTCTCACTAGACTGCTGTGGTATAATCAACCCACTCACAGATTTAAAAAACCTCCCACCTGATATTAAGTCCAACTCTCCCCCTCTCCAGTCCTCTCCACAAAGCTTTCTTAATTTGTTAACTGGATTTGTCATTTGCAATCAGCTTAATCCTCCTTTATACCCTCATCTCTATGGTTCTCCTCCTGAGCCTTTCTCCCCAACTCAATATTCTGAAGATATCCCTTCTGCTGTTGCTCTCTGATGAAAGAAGGGGTGGAATTGTTTAGCTAATTTCAGATTAATCTCAGTTCTTGATCCTATGTCTGAGCCTTGAGTGCACATGTGGACTTCTACAGCAGTTCTCGGTTGGTGGTGCATGCATCGCTGGTGTGATGAAGACAAAGCGGGAGGAAAGTACACCTACCAGCTGTTTGGGGAATTCTGGGTTTCAGTAGCAGAATTGCCAGGAGGACATCTCTGTTGGTGCACTTAGAGGGCCAGCTCATCACATGGGGCAAAGCTGCCCCAACTGTAACTTCCCTTGGAGAAACCCACAGGTAGCAAATTAGGAGTGCCCAGAGGCTGAATGGAGCAGTGGGGTTGAAGCCCCAACCTTTGTAAAGGGATAGAAAACCCACCAGGAGCTAAAATGTAGGGCAGCACTCAAGGCCACTTTGGGGAGCCCCTGCCTGGAACTTGGAGCGGGGGGGGGGAGGGAGGAAAAGGGAGAGCGTAGGAAGGAAGGAAGGTTAGTTTTGCATTTTAAGTAAAGCTACTTTCCACTTTAAGGAAAGGAAGAGATAAGCTGGGTGGGGCACAGGTTCTTTGATGGAGCAAGTGAGGATGATGGGAGGAGAAGACTTTCTCACCAGAGAT